ATAAGCTCACTTTCTATAAACCTGGAAGGAATACTTCAGATTTCTATCAATAAATATTCGTTGTTTTAATATTTCACTCTGGCTCATTGTCTCAAGTTAAAATCATATTTCACGTGGATTCTATGGAATCAGAAATACTACGTACATCTTGTTATAAAAGAAACTGGGTTAAGATTCCTATCTGGCCACAAATTTTCTTGGTCCTGTTCCCACTTTGCAACTTTGCCAGAAGCTCGTCAGAAACCCCTTAATTTCTGCAGATGGGGTTTTGGCCTCACTTTCAGTGAAGCAAGCTCACAGAACAGCAGTAGTTCCAAAGACATTCCGGACTATTGAGCTGCCATATCTTGGGCCTAAATGTGTTCATGCAGCTACGTCTCTGCAAGTGTAAAATTCTATCTTCAAATATCAAACTATCTGCTTATTCACTGGCTTAAGTGAAAGCTTTTTCTGCAAAAAAAAATGTGGGCTATTTGAAAGTGAGAACCCAAAGGTTATAAAAACAATTATTCACATCCACTGTAATCCAGAGAGATAGACTGTCAGAAAATGCTTCCTTGTCCAATTCAACTTTGTCCCTTGACCCACTGAATGTGATAACATTTCAGTGTACATTTACAGAAGAAGTTTCACTGAGTGGCCACTTTTCTGACTGTAACCGTGCCAATGATCCACAAAGCTATTTAACCATGGCAAGGGAACGTTTATAATAATTTTAACTATTCTAGTCTGATGAAAGGTAATCTGTCTGAAACATTAACACTGGTTTCTCTTCACACATGTACCTTACCTGCTGAGTATTTCCAATGTTTGTTTTTCATTTCATAACAATTGAACTTGATTGTGGCCTTATGAAGAATTCACAAGCAGATACATAAGGGGCAGCATGATGGCTCAATGGTTAGCACTGCTGCCTCACAGCTCCAGGGACCTGGGTTCGATCTCAGCCTCGGACTGTCTGTATGGAGTTTGCACATTCTCCCCATGTCTGCGTGGGTTTCCTATGGGTGCTCCGGTTTCCTCCCACAGTCCAAACATGTGCAGGTTAGGTGGATTGGGCGTTATAAATTGCCCATAGTGTTTAGGGATGTGTAGATTAGGCGGGTTACAGGGGGATGGGTCTGGGTGGGGTGCTCCGAGGGTCGGTGTGGACTTGTTGGGCCAAAGGGCCTGATTCCACACAGTAAGGATTCTGTGATACTTGCTGGTAACTGGCCTTCATCAGAGGTAAGGGAGTGAGGTTTATACTTCTTTGAACCGCAAAGAATTAGGGACAACAGTAGTGTATAAGGGACCCAAACTGTGTTTGCCCTGCACATTTCAGGGCATCTGCATGATGTCACTGAGATGCTCCCTCAATGGACAGCAATCTAGTTGACAGTCTTCTTGTCCAGTCAGGTAGAGAGAGGAGAGCAAGAGAGACAGCGAGTGCAAAAGAGCGAGTGAGAGAGCAAGAAAGAAGGGTGTCAGTGTGGGGAAAGGGAGAGGTCATCATGAGCTCCAGGTTATTGGAATGAAGGAGGAAGTGGTCCAATCTTGGGCCATTCTCCCAGCCAGAGAATTAGGCTGGGAATGTAGTTCAGGGCCTCGTGGGGAGATTGGAAGCCTTGGCAACATGAAGATCAAAGACCAAAAGAACTGCGGATGCTGTAAATCAGGGACAAAAACAAAGTTGCTGGAAAAGCACAGCAGGTCTGGCAGCATCTGTGGAGGAGAAAACAGAGTTAACATTTCGGGTCCAGTGACCTTTCCTCAGAACTGATGGTGGCTGGGAAAACTTCAGTCTATATGCAGAAAATAGGGAGGTGGGTGGGGTAGGGAGTAAACGATAGGATAGAGCCCAAAGAGAGAGAAAGACAGTTGGACAGACAAAGGAGTTGCTAATGATCAGGCTGGGAGGGTGAATAGTTGTTAATGGGGACTGTTAGTGACTAACAACAGGGGGTGTGTAGTGGCAGGCTATGTGGTAACAAGGCCTGGTGTGTGGGGTGGGGGGCTGGGACATGGGAGAGTTTTAGGCCCTAAAATTATTGAACTCAATATGGAGTCTGGAGGGCTGTAGGGTCCCCAAGCGGAAAATGAGGTGTTGTTCCTCCAGCTTGCGCTGGGCTTCACTGGAACACTGAGCAAAGACCTTGTGCAGGAAGGACAGGGAGGCAGATTCAAAGGCCTTGGATGGGGGAAGAAGGCATAACTGGAGATTTGGGAGGGAGGAGAGGATGTTTGAAATCTGGGAAAGTGAGGTCAGCAGGCTGGTGTGGAAGATTGAGGAGAGATTGGAAGGGTTATGAGGTTGAGAGGAGAATTCACTCATAGGTTTTGGATCAGCAAGGCACCCAGGATCAAGCAGGTAATTCGAAGACACATTGCTCTATACCTAGAGATAGTAGGAACTGCAGATGCTGGAGAATCTGAGATAACAAGGTGTAGAGCTGGATGAACACAGCTGACATTTCAGATTTTCTGAAGAAGGGTCTAGGCCCGAAACGTCAGCCTTCCTGCTCCTCTGATGCTGCTTGGCCGGCTGTGTTCATCCAGCTCTATACTTTGCTCTATACCTAGCAGGTTTTGCTTCAGTTTAGCTGACAAGTTTTCATAGAATCCCCATAGGGAAGAGAGGGGTCATTCGACCCATTTAGTCTGTACCAACTCTCCAAAGAGCATTCTACCCAGACCCACCATCCCATCCTATCCCCATAATCATGCATTATCCACACCTAATTCTAGACTACCCCACAGGGTAATTTAGCATGGCCAATCTACCTAACCTGCACATCTTTGGGCTGTGGGAGGAAACCAGAGCACCAGGAGGAAACCCACAGGTAGAACGTGCAAACTCCACACAGACAGTCGCCCGAGGGTGGAATCAAACCCAGGTTCCTGGTGCTGAGGCAGCAGTGCTAACCACTAAGCCACCATGCCACACAATAGATGATTTTGCTTCTCTAAATCCAACAACACTGAGGCCAACTGCATGATTACAATTAAAATTACTAATCCAACTGACACTGAAACTGAACCTAGAATCTTCCTGCTCTCTGCAAACACCAGGAGCAGGATTTTCCAGATGGCAGGTTATCCCATATTGCCACTTTTACAAAAAGCAGAATATCACCCAACAGCCAGATGCAAATAGGACTTGGTCCCACAGCAAAGAGCAAGAGGTCAATTGAACTTGTCAGTGGTTCTGTAGTCTCAGCAGCACTAGTGGCCAAGACCGGGACTACAAACAGTCCTCAGCTTCTAAAGTCCCAAAGTCCAGATGAGGAAAGTGTAGGGACATCTTATGGTTTGAAAAGAGAAGTGCATCCAAAGTGGGTAGGGTCTGAAAAGGCTACCACCCTCGACACCTCACATCAGAGACCCAAGCAGGATGATTTGTCAGGTCACTTGCCAGCCTTAAAACTGAACTTTCCACAGGAAGAGGCTGTTATGGTCAATTAAGAATCTCATTGGGTTGAGGGTAACTGAGCTGTCCTAGGCCTCATTCATTCCACATAAAATTGCACACAGATCAAAGGCAGGCGAAGGGAGCAGCAGAAATCCACCGAGGAATTTTACATGCTCTCCCAACCCATGAAGCTATTGGCAAAGATTTGTAACATTCTGCCCCAAGTTATGTGTTTATCTGTCTTTTTCCATCTAGAGATCTCAATCTATTTGGAAGTGTTGGAAATGCTTATATTTTACTAAATGGATAAAAGGTAATATGGACAATTCTGAGCATAAAACAAACTTTCTGATTCAGGAGCCAGTTTTAGAACTCATCTGATCTTCTCTTCTAATGGATCTTTATAGGGCAGTCTACTCCAGGTGAAGCTGATAAAAGGCAGAATAAAGTGATCATTTTATCAAGCACTTTTGAGTTTAAGTGTGTCCTAAATTCTATGGCTCTCATCATTCTGACTATCTTTTCCATTCCCAGTCTGAGCTCTTACACCTACCTGGCACATTAATCTGCTGTTTTAAAGGTCGTTGTAAAGTTCAGGAATTTTATCTTCTACTTCTCCTGGGTAGTCTGCAATTCCATAATTTAAGTATTATCTTTAGCAATCTCAGTCTTGACCCAATTCTCATGATTTTGTTCAAGAAAGTTTCTGATGGTGAGAAAAACAAACTGACCACTTAAATCAGAAGCAGGCAGTCAGGAAGCAAACAAAAGTGAAAACCATAAATTTGAGATTGTTTGATCACTAAATGCAATCAAAAGGTGACTGAAATTGAGACAGTTGAACTTTGCATATTGACATTTGAGTGGAAATTTGACATGTGTTTTCTTATAGTGACTTCCTCACTCTGTGAAATCATAAATTGCTGAACTGGTACATTGATTCGCTCATGACAGTATTGATGTGATACTGGTATAATTGATAAAGGGGCTGGATTCTACACTGTTCCATGGGCATTCTGAAGATGCAAAAAGCACACAAAAATCTAACCAGGGATGCCCATCACCTACCAACCTGATTCTGCCCCCACTGCAATTAAATGGGGAACAGGGAAGCCATCTAACATCCCATCTGTCCTTAGGCTTATTAGTAAGGGTCTCGTGTTTCAGTCACCACTCAGTACAATACCTGCAGTGGGAGCAGGGTCACTGTTGACAAGAAGCTTAAACTGTAAAACTGGCATCTGGCTAAAGAAGGACAACTCTCTAAGTCCCCTGGGACACTGGAGGCATCCCTCACTCCAAGTTCATTTCCCCTTAACCATCCACACCCAACTTTTTGAAACTGAATGCCCCCTGCACCCACCAACCTGTCCTCAAAAACACTTAACCCAATAGCACTGCTGAGGCTACAGAGTCACTGGTCATTCAATTAGTTGGTAGTGGTCTAAGATGCGCTTTCTGGCCAGACAGAGAGACACATTCCAGCATAAAATAGCTGCAGAACAATCATCGGTAGGCTCACCCCTATTTTTAAGCATTGGGTTCAGAGATTCATGCCCAAGCCATGCATGATTAAATTATGTTTTTCTAGCTAACATTTATTCCACACCTTTTCCACTGGGCAACAGTCATAACTACCAGATTCAAGTTTACAACACGTTGATTCATCTGGGCAAGGTCTTCCATCCGGGCACTGCACTTCAGTTGAGGCCAAGTTTGCCAGCAACAGAATTATGATTGGTGGCCACATCTGAAAGAAAAGACCATAAAGTAGTGAAGCAACATCAGGAAATTTGTTCTAGAGTTGTACTGTTAATGGAATTGAGATGTTTCTATCACAAAGTAAGTATGAATTAACCATACAATACATGTATTTCAGACTATGTTGGGATACAGATTATTTGAGCAACCTTCCCATGAGAACAGTTTTAATAAAAAGACAGATTTGCCACAAATAGATATGGAAGTATGTTACCTCTGCTAAACTGTTCATTCTCCAATTTTGGAACGTGTTAAACACTGTCAGAGGAAGTTGCACACTAAGCAGCATTATACAAGGCTGTTCTGGGATCAGTTAGCTCATTCTGCTGGACTACTGGTTTGGGAAGCTGACTGATGTTAACAGTGTAGTTTCAAATCCCACACCAGCTAAGGTTACCATACAGATCCTACCTTCCCAACCTCAGCCCTCGTCTGAGGTATGGTGACCCTCTGATCACACTCACCAACAGTCGACCATAAAATACAGGAGCAGAATTAGGCCATTCAGCCCACTGAGTCTGGTCCGCCATTTAATCACAATTGATATGTTTCTCAAACACATTCTCTTGCCTTCTCCCTGTAACGCTTGACCCCCTTTCTAATCAAGAACCTATCTATTTCTGTCTCAAATACACTCAATGATTTTGCCTCCACAGTCCTCTGTAGCAATGAGTTCCACAGATTCATCACTCTCTAGCTGAACAAATGCCTCACCTTAATTCTAAAGTCTCATCCCTTCATACTGAGGCTGTGCCTTTGAGTCCTAGTTTCTCTTACTTGTGGAAACATCTTCTCCATGTTCACTCTATCCAGGCCTCTCAGTATTCTCCAAGTTTCAATGAGATACCCCCTCATCCTTCTAAACTCCATCACATACAGACCCAGAGTCCTCAACCCTCCTCATATGACAACCCCTTCATTCCCAATATCATTCTTGTAAATCTCCTCTGGATCCCTTTCGGTATTAGCGCATCCTTCCTTAGACACAGGGCCTAAAACTGCTCACGATATTCCAAATGCAGTCTGACAGAGCCTTATACAGCCTCAGCAGTACATCTCTGCTCTTGTTTCTAGCTCTCTTAAAATTAATCCTAACATTGCATTTGCCTTCCTAAGTACCAACTGAACCTGTACGTTGACTTTAGGAGAATCCTGAACTAGGACTCGCAAGTCCCTTTGTGCTTCAGATTTCTGAAGCCTTTCACCACTTAGAAAATAGTCTAGTACTCTATTCTTCCTACCAAAGTGCACAACCTCACATTTCGCCACATTGTACTACATCTGCCACTTCTTTTCCCGCTCTTTAGGCCTGACCAAGACCATCTACAGCCTCCCTGCTTGTTCAATACTACCTGCCCGTCTACAGATCTTTGTGACGTCTGCAAACTTAGCAACAACTCCGTCAGTTCCTTTGTGCACATTGTCAATGTATAACATGAATAGTTGTGGTACCTACACTGACCCCTGAGGAACTCCACTTGTCATCTGCTGCCATCCTTTAAAATACTCCTTCTCTCCACTCTCTGCCTTCTGCCAGTCAGCCAATGCTCTATCAATGCCACTGCCTTGCCACTAACAGCATTGGCTCTTTTCGTATTTAGCAGCCTCCTGTGTGGCACCTTGTCAAAGGCCTTCTGGAAATTCAAATAGATCACATCCAGTAGCTCTCCTTTGTCTAACTGGCTCATTATCTCCTCAAATAATTCTAACAGATTTGTCAACCTCCCCTTGACAAAGCTGTGCTGACTCAAAACTATTTTACCATGGACTTCCAAGTACTCCACAATCTCATCCTAATAATGGACTCTAACATCTTACCAATGACCAAGGTCAGGCTAACCAGCCTATAGTTTCCTGTCTTTTGCCTCCCTTCCTTCTTAAACAAGGGTGTTAGATTAGCCATTCTCTAGTCTTCCGGGACCCACCCTGATTCCAGTGATTCCTGAAAGGTCATTGCCAATAGTCCTACAATCTCCTCAGCTATCTTCTTCAGAATTCTGGGGTATAGTCCATCCGATCCAGGCTATTTATCCACCTTCAGACCTTTCAACTTCCCAGTGCCTTCTCCTTAGTGATGGCCACAATATTCATCTCTGCAACCTGATTTGCTTGAAGTTCTGGATTTCTGCTGGTGTCTTCCACTTTGCATCAGTTTTCAAAGTACCTATTCAGTTCCTTCTGCCATTTCTTCATTTCCCATTACTACTTCTCCAGCACCATTTTCTAGTGGTGCAATGTCTACTCTTGTGTCTCTTACCTTTTACATATCTGAAAAAAAAAACTCTTGCAATCTTCTTTTACATTATTAACTAGCTTACCCTCACATATCATCTTCTCCCACCTATTTTTTTAAAGTTTTCCTCTGTAGGTTTTTAAAGGTTTCCCAATCTTTTTTGCTTCTCACTAATCTACACCATATTGTACGCTTTTCCTTTTGCCTTTATGCTGTCCCTGATTTCCCTTATCTGCCATGGTTGCCTCGTCCTCCCCTTAGTATGGTTCTTCTTCCTTGGGATGAATTTCTGCTGTGCCTCCTGATTTATCCTCAGAAATTCCTGTCATTGCTGCTCCACCATCTTCCCTGCAAGGCTCTCTTTCCAATCAACTCTGGCCAGCTCGTCCCTCATATATTTGGAGTTACCTTTACTCATTTGTAATACCATTACGTCTGATTCCAGCTTCTCCCTCTCAAACAGCAGGGTGAATATTATGGTCACTGACCCCTAGGGGTTCCTTTACCTTAAGCTTCCTAAACAAGTCTGCCCTTTGATCCTCCAGGACTATAGTGACTTTTCCTTTACATAGGCTGGTTTATACATGTGCATAGACTTGGGATGTATGGTAGCTGCTATTAGTAAGTATATTTGCAATGTATGTAGGATTCTTCACGAGAAAGTCCATAGGAATGTTCAGCTTCCATTAGTTGCAGAAAGGCAAGATATCAGAGAATTTATCATAAAATCAAACTAGCTTAAAGATAGTGTTTTAGCATTGAATTTCAGCAGGCAAGATACCAATTATTCTCCATAACATCACAGTCGCCATGTAATTTGTTTGGGATTCTTTTCCTAAAGTTCAAGAAATGACTGAAAGTCCCCAGTGGAAATGCAAATCCTTTGTTCTTGAATTCTGCAGTACGTAGAAAAGAGTTTAACCACTGTTCATGTCCGCAAGCAAACTCACATATTCCAGTTGCCTACTACAACATTTTTCAAACATCAGCACATCTTAGTATAGCACAACAAATGTAAAAGTCTACACTGAAATGGAACCAATTAGGATGAACCACATAGCGTGGGTGAGGAATAACCAAATTTACTACATGCACTATTCCTGCTTCTACTGCAGTTAAGGATTCAAACTTCACAAAGCTTACTTAAATGCAAGTCACCAATGTTTTCTGTTTATGCAAGAACTAGGGAGTGCAGATTTTGCTGTGTTAAATGCCACTTTTATGACAACTACTTTGAAGGCTTCAGGCTATCCTTATGCGGCAGACAGCCAACTGGCAAGCAGCTAGCACTCAATCTGAAAGCACACTCCTCAAGAGTAGCTGTACCAGAAAGCTGACTCGGGTGCAAGATTCTCATTTGCACGTTACATGGAGATCTCTCGGTCAGGCTCCTTACAGAATCAACTATTTTAACTCGCAATCAACGTAATGCTTCACTGTGTTGCTTTTCTGTTTCAGCTCTGTATCAACTATTTCACAATGCTGTTACCTTTACTGACAATTGGCAACAGCAATTTAGAAGGTGAGAGCTACAATATTTCTAATAATTCCCTTGGCATTGAATTCTTTTGGCTAATTTCAGAGAAGGAGAAGAGGAGTCAGAGGTGGCACATGAGGCAGCCTGCATTTACATTTTAGGAGCTTAAGACATAAATTCCCTATTCCTACCAGCCACGCAGGTTAGCTCGGAGGTCTATTTCAATATATTTGGAAAGATTAGCATACCGTGGCTAGGTATTTCTTAAACAATCACCGAAGGCATGGCAGTAGATCAGGCGAATCCTTGCAAAAACTCAACACAATAAATTCACAAAGGTAGCTACGCAATCTCCTGGAAACAAATCATGAAGATATTTGGAGGCCAGTGACAGTGGTTGCTAGCTTGAAATTTTAAAAATCGAGTAATTTCCAAACAACAACGATGATTCCAATCTCATAGCCAGCACCTCATAGCTGACACTTGCTTGGGTCCTCAACCTATTGCGATCTGTAAATTTTTGAATAGAGTTGGCAGCCCCTCTAAAGGCTACATGTGGAGAGCAGAGAGTTTAGAATGCATCTGGAAGGACAGAAATGTGGCAGTCCTTTACCCAATGTCAGGGAATTAAACAAAATTTTCACAGGCAAATGATTCAGATCACTAACTCCTTTTTATTAGGTGGAAATCTGGACCTGTATTTTTGAATAACATCAATACTCTCTATTTCAAATAGTTTAACTAAGTTGCCCTTGCTTTAAAATGTTTGCATTTATACTCCAATGTACAATAAATCTGGCAACATGGAGCTCAGTCTGTATTTTCAGCCCTGAAATGTTTGTCCTTTAGGATACAGGTGTTTCCTATAAATGAGTTAATATCTCACCTGCAACAAGGAAGTAATAACTTTCATCTTTTGATCAAATGACTTTAATGGATTTACAATGAATGAAATACTTTTAGAATGTAATCACTATGGTAATGTAGGAAACACAGAAGCCAATTTATACACAGCAAAGTCACATAAAAAGCAATGTGACAGTGACCAGACATACCATGTTTAGTGGTGTTGGTTAAAAGATAGTGGGAAACCTGGAGCTGGAGATCTAATGTTTTTCGTCACAAAACATGCCATGACATCTTTCGCCTCCACCTGACAGGGCGGATGCGCGTCATTAACATCACATCTGAAAAGTGATGACCACTATTTAAAGTGCCTCCACATGGCAGAAACAGGGAACATAAGAACATAAGAAATAGGAGCAGGAGTAGGCCATCCGGCCATTTCAGCCTGCTCTGCCATTCATAGAACATAGAACAGTACAGCACAGTACAGGCCCTTTGGCCCACAATGTTGTGTCAACCTATTATCCTACTCTAAGATCAAACTACCCTGCATACCCTACATTTTACTATCATCCATGTGCCTATCCAAGAGTTGCCTGAATGTCTCTAATGTATCTGACTCCACTACCACCGCCACCATGCACCCACCACTCTTTGTGTAAAGAACCTACCGCTGACATCCCCCCTATACCTTCCTCCAATCACCTTAAAATTACACCCCTTCGTAATAGTCATTTCCACCCTGGGAAAAAGTCTCTGACTATCCACTCTATCTATGCCTCCCATCATCTTGTACACCTCTCCCAAGTCACCTCTCATCCTTCTTCGCTCCAACAAGAAAAGTTCTAGCTCCCTCAACCTTTCCTCATAAGACCTGCCCTCCAGTCCAGGCACATCCTGGTAAATCTCCTCTGCACCCTCTCTAAAGCTTCCACATCCTTCCTATAATGCGGCAACCAGAACTGAACACAATATTCCAAGTGTGGTCTAACCAGGGTTTTATAGAGCTGCAGCATAACCTCGCAGCTCTTAAAGTCAATTCCCCTGCCGATGAAAGCCAACACACCATACGCCTTCTTAACAACCCTATCAACTTGGGTAGCAACTTTGAGGGATCTATGGACGTGGACTCCAAGATCTGTTCTTCCTCCACTCCAAGAATCCTGCCAATAACCCTGTATTCTGCATTCAAATTTGACCTTCCAAAATGAATCACTATAAGATCAATAAGATCATGGCTGATCTTCTTCATGGACTCAGCCCCACTTACCCGCCCACTCACCATAACCCTTAATTCCTTCACTATTCAAAGATCTATCTATCTTTGCTTTAAAAATATTCGTCAAGGTAGCCTCAACTGCTTCACTGGGCAGGGAATTCCACAGATTCACAACCCCTTGGGAGATGAGTTTTCTCCTTAGCTCGGTCCTAAATCTGCTTCCCCTTATTTTGAGGCTATGCCCCCTAGTTCAAGTTTCACCCACCAGTGGAAACATCCTCCCTGCTTCTATCTGATACATTCCCTTCATAATTTTTATACGTTCGTATAAGATCCCCCCTCATTCTTCTAAATTCCAATAAGGACAGACCCAGTCTACTCAATCACTCCTCATAGGCTAACCCTCTCAAGTCTGGAATCAACCTAGTGAAGCTCCTCTGCACCTCCTCCAGTGCCAGTACAGCCTTTCTCAAGTGGGGAGGTCAAAACTGTACACAGTACTCTATGTGTGGACTCACCAGCACCCTATCAGCTGCAGCATGACATTCCTATTTTTAAACTCCATCCCTCTAGTAATGAAGGACAGTATTCCATTTGCTTCTTAATTACCTGCTACACCTGCAGACCAACTTTTTGTGATTCATGCACAAGGACACGCAGGTCCCTCTGCACAGCAGCATGCTGCAATTTTTAACCATTTAAATAATAATCCATTTTGCTGTTATTCCTACCAAAATGGATGACCTCACATTTACCAACACTGTACTCCATCTGCCATACCCTTGCCCACTCACTTAACCTATCTATATCCCTCTGCAGATTTTCAGTGTCCTCTGCACACTTTGCTCTACCACTCATCCCAGTGTCATCTGTGAACTCTGACACACTACACCTGGTCCCCAACTCTAAATTATCTATGTAAATTGCAAACAATTTCAGTCCCTACACTGATCCCTGAGTCACACCACTAGCCACTGGTCTCCAACCAAATAAACATCCATTTATCCTCACTCTTTGCTTTCTGTTAGTTAACCAATCCTCTATCCATGCTAATACAATACTCATAAAGGCTTGCATTTTTATCTTACGCAGCAGCCTTTTTGGGTGGCACTTTGTCGAATGCCCTCTGGAAACCCAAATGCATCACATCCAACAGTTGCCTGTTGTCCACTGCACACAATGTCCTCAAAGAATTCCAGTAAATTATTTAAACATGACCTGCTTTTCATGAACCTATGCTGCGTTCGCTCAATGGGACTATTTCTATCCAGCTATATCGCTATTTCTTCTTTAATGGTAGATTCAAGCACTTTCCCACAATAGAAGTTAAGCTAATGGGCCCATAGTTACCCATCTTTTGTCTACCTCCTTTTTTAAACAGTGGCGTCACATTTGCTGTTTTCCAATCTGCCAGATCTGCCCCAGAGTCCAGTGAATTTCGGTAAATTACCATAAGCACATTTGCTATTCCCCCACCATCTCTTTTAGTACCCTGAGATGCATTCTATCAAGGCCAGGAAACTTGTCTACCTTTAGCCCCATTAGCTTGCTCAATACTAACTCTTTAGTGATAATGATCATTTCTAGGTCATTACCTACGACTAGCCTCCTTGCCATCAATTACTGGCACGTTATTTGTGTCGGCCACTGTGAAGACCGGCAAAAAATATCTGTTCAATGCCCCGGCCATTTCCACATTTTCCATTATTAAAAGAGAAGTAAAACTAAAACAACAGAATCCTGTTTCCTTCCTGCCAAGCCCTCTAAAAGTGCAGTGCTACATCTAAATTATAGCTTCAAAACTCTGCAGAATATTTCACTTTACAACATACTGGCGCAGAGTTGTGAAAACGGCTCCTGAATCAAGAATGAAATTGGACAAAATAAAGCCGGCGTAATGCCTTACCAATATAATAAATGTTCACCTGATAATATTAATAACAATGATTCCAAGTTTAAAAAATGCTAAATTGTTGATTTATGTATGAATGTTTAATTGTTCATAAATAAAGGCCAAAAAGAACTATTTCTTTCCAGATGTGTCATTATTTCAAATGCCCAGCTTTCAAAGTTTTTCTTGTTGCCTATTTAAATTTATCACCATAATTATTTTTTTAAAAAATCTGAGTAAATACATAAGCTAATGTGGATCTAATAGTATAAAATTTAAATAACTTAGGATAACCACCATTATTACTGCTTACGCTTAATGTAAACTGATCCTCAGCATGCAATTCATTTTTCAGTCAAGGTGAAATTTAAAGCATTTAATACTTACTGTGTTAGTTGTTCTCCGCTGAGGCACTGGAGTAACTAACAATTGTTCTTATGACATGCCCCTTTAGTGGATGATGGTAATATGCCAGTGATTGATTTATGAGATTGTCAGCCAATAGGATTTAAAGTTAACTCATATCAAGAGGAAGTATAATAAAATTCATGGAATTGCTTGTGTGAAAGTTTCTAAGAAGCTGTTTGATAGAGTGATGTGTATAATTAAAACAAAAACAGAACCTCAGCAGATCTGGCAGCTTCCATAGAAAGATTAACAGATAATGTTTTGAATTCAGTGACTGAATTGAGAAAAGGTGTATTTATGCTGACGACAGGGTGGGGGTGAAAGAAGTGAGACAACTAGATAGAGAAAGTATCCAGAGAGAGGGGGAGAGAGATAGAGAGTGAGAGAGCGAGACAGTGAGAAAAAGAACAGGAAACAAACAAAGAGATTGCTAAAAGTAAGCCAGGAAGAAGTGACTGCTGGATACGTGATAACAGGAACCGTGAATATTGGAAATGGATTGGCTGTTCTGGGAGCAACCCATACAGAGCAAGACCTTGAGGGAGGTGTTCACACTCTGAAATTGTTAATGTTGAGTCCTGAAGCTTGTAAGGTACTTTGGTGGTAGATGTGTTTGTTCTTCTAGCTGGTGTTAAGCTTCGCTAGAGTACTGCTGCAGGCCCAAGACAGAAAACTCATCATGGGAACATGGTGATGTGTTTAAATGTCAGGGAACTGGAAGCTCAGAAGCCCCAGATACAACTTTCAGGTTAAATAGCCTAGAATAACTGAAGTGCAAGTAAATCACTATTATATTCAATGCTTGCAATGCAGTCTCCTTTACTTTTGGGATTTAAGAAAACAACACAGACTGTGTGATTGCTTTGCCAACACCTTCTCTGCATCTGTAAAAATGATCCACAAGTTTCCAGTTGCCTACCACTTCAACACACCATGTTCTAATGACAACATTTCTTTCTCAGGCCTGCTACAGTGCTCCAGCAAAACTCAACACAAGCTGGAAAAACAAACACATCTGGTGCCTAAGGACCTTACAACCCTCAAGGCTCAGCATTGATTTTAACAATTTCAGAGTGTGAACACCTGCCATATTCGTTACTCACTTTCACACTCCAAGATCTTGCACTGTATGGGTTGCTCCCAGAACAACGAATCCATTTCCCATTATTTCATCCATTCAACAGTCACTTCTTCCCCAGCTTACAATTTCTGTGTTGCTTCCTTCTTTTAACCTTTCTGCATGCACCATCTCCATCTATTCATCTCACTGCTTCCTTCCATGCCCTGCCCCTGTCATCAGGATAAATACCACCATTTAGCAGTTGCCTCCAGATCTAGGGGTCAATCAACTCAAAACAGTAACTGTGTTTTGTCTCCACAAATGAATTATAAAGTTTAGAATAGGAAAAAGAAAGATGTGGTACCTCCAAATCAATTTGCTCATTTGTGCAGGTGAGCAACAAGTGAGTGGGTTCTCATTTCTGAACAGGTTGAGAAAAAAATATTTCCACAACAAAATATCGATTTCTGCAATTCAAGTCTGAGACCTGAATGGGGAAACTGTGCCAGCTGCCTTCTCATTACAAACTGCTGAGACCCAAAAGATAACTTTTAAATTTATTTTTTCAGATTTCCTTGTGGGCCAGGAGCCAAACCCGGGCCCTCAAAAAAGATTTAAAATGCTCCTTTCTTTCTGCCCACTACAACTGCTCTCCAAACCTTACTCCTGACATATCCAAAGTCTTGCCAACACTGGTTCAAAGTATTCCTAAAGTAATCTGATTTTCTGCCCACACTGCTGCCACTGATCACCTGACACTCTCATATTGGTCGCTAATTATTTTCCGCACAAGTGGAAGTCTAATTTCGACTGGATTGTCGCTCCCAAATACAAATTTACAGGAACACCCCAGAAAGAAAATGAACGTCACTGGTGGGGCAGGACTTCCGCCCCGCAGGCATGCGCCGTCACTGGTGGGGTAGGACTTCCGCCCCGCAGGCACAACGCGCCACGAGCAGGTCACAGAGAGACTTCCGCCTCACAGAGACTTGATGTCGCTCCCATTATATCAATTGGATTGTGCGCCAGCGCCAGAACCCCGAAGTGGCTACCGCCGGGACTGCAGGCAGGTCCATGGAAATGAGCAGGATTGCTGGCAGAAGTGAAAGGGTTGAAGGAAGAAAGGTGGGATAGACTACAGGATGGGTTTTGAAGTCACAGAGTTAAACCGCACTGATACAGACCCTTTGGTCCAACCCATCCATGCTCCTTCCTAATCATATACCCATACCCTTTTAAATGATGTAATTCTACTTGCCCCCATCACCTCCTGAGGAAGCTCATTCCATGGACGCACCATCCTCTGTGTGAAAAATTTGCTCCTCAGGTCCATTTAAAATCTCTCCCTCTCACCTTAAACCTATGCCCTCTAGTGTTGAACTCCCCTATCCTGGGGAAAAGACCTTGGCTTTTCACCTGATCCATGCCCTCATTATTTTATAAGGTCACACCTCAGCCTCTGACTCTCCAGGAAAGAAAGGCCCAGCCTATTCAGCCTCTCCCTACAACTCAAACTCTCCAAACCTGGCAACATTCTTGTAAATCTTTTCTGAACCATTTCTAGTTTCATTGCATCTTTCCCATAGCAGTGAGACCAGAAGAAAACACAATCACAAGAAACTACAGAGTCGTGAACACAGCCCAGTCTCTCAGAAACCAGCCTTCCATCCATTGACGCCATCTATACTTCCTGCTGCCTTGGAAAAGCAATCAACAAAGTCAAAGACCCCTTCCGTCCCAGTTATACTCTCTTCCACCCCCTTTCGTTAGGCAGAAGATATAGAAGTTTGAATACACGTATGAATATATTCAAGAACAGCCTCTTTCTTCCTTACGGTTATCAGACTTTTGAACAGACATCTCAAATGTTAATTATGATCTCTCTCTCTCTGCACCTTCTCTGCAGCCATAACACTGTATTCTGCAACCTGTTCTGCTACCCTGATACACTTTGTATGGCATAATATGCCTGTACAGCACAAAAAGCCACATTTTTCACTGTATCTCAATACAGGTGACAATAATAAATCAATCAATCAGAATGGAACGCAGTATTCCAAAAGCGGCCTAACCAATGTCCTGTACAGCCGCAACATGACATTCCAGCTCTTATAGTCAATGCACTGGCCAATGAAGGCAAGTGTGCCAAATGCCTTCTTCACCACTCTGTCTGCCTGCAACTCCACTTTCAAGGAACTATGCGCATGCACCCATAGGGCCCTTTGTTAGGCAACACTCGCCAGGGCCTTACCATTAACTGTATAAGTCCTGTCCTGATTTGTCTTAGTAAAATGCAACAATCTTTATTAAATTAAACTCCATCTGCCACTCCTGGGCCCATTGGCCTATCTGGTCAAGGTCCCATTGTAAGATAACCTTCTTCACTGTCCACAACACCACCAATTTTGGTTATCTGCAAACTTACTAACGATATCTCCTATATTCACATCCAAAACATTTATATAAATGATGAAAAGCAGCGGACCCAGCAATGATCCTTGCGGCAAACCGCTGGTCACAGTCTCCAGTCCAAAAAGCAACCCAGAACACCTACACTCGGTTCGCAATAAACAACTGCACCTCCCAGTCGCGAACCATTTCAACTCCCCCTCCCATTCCTCAGACGACATGTCCATCCTGGGCCTCCTGCAGTGCCACAACGATGCCACCCGAAGGTTGCAGGAACAGCAACTCATATTCCGCTTGGGAACCCTGCAGCCCAATGGTATCAATGTGGATTCCACAAGCTTCAAAATCCTCCCTCCCCCTACCGCATCCCAAAACCAGCCCAGCTCATCCCCGCCTCCCTAACCTGTTCTTCCTCCCACCTATCCCCTCCTCCCACCGCAAGCCGCACTCCCATCTCCTACCTACTAAACTCATCCCGCCCCCTTGACCTGTCCGTCCTCCCTGGACTGACCTATCTCCTCCCTACCTCCCCACCTACACTCACCTTTACTGGCTCCATCCCCACCTCTTTGACCTGTCTGTTTCCTCTCCACCTATCTTCTCCTCTATCCATCTCCTATCCGCCTCCCCCTCTCTCCCTATTTATTTCAGAATCCCCTTCCCCTCCCCCATTTCTGATGAAGGGTCTAGGCCCGAAACGTCAGCCTTCCTGCTCCTCTGTTGCTGCTTGGCCTGCTGTGTTCATCCAGCTCTACACCTTGTTATCTCCAACACCATCCTCTGTCTCCTACCTTCAAGCCAATTTTGCATCCAATTGGCTAGCTCCCCCATGATTCCATTGATCTAACCATGCTAAGCAGTCTACCATGTGGAACCTTGTCGAATACCTTACTGAGTTCATGTAGACAATGCTTACTGCTCTGCCTTCATCAATCTTCTTTGGTACTTCTTCAAAACCACTCAATAAAGTTAGTGAGACACAATTTCTTGCGCACAAAACCAAGTTGACTATCCCTAATCAGACCTTGCTTTTCCAAATGCATGTAAATCCTGTCCCTCAGAGTCCCCTCCAATAAATTAGCTACCACTGATGTCAGCCTCACCAGTCTATAATTCCCTGGCTTTCACTTACCACTTTTCTTAAGCAAAGGCACCGCATTAGCAACCTCTGGTCTTCTGGCACCTCACCCGTGGCTATCGATGATATAAAAATCTTAGCGAGGGACCCAACAATCTCTTCCCTAGCTTCCCAAAATGTTCTGGGATACACCTGATCCACCTAATGAATTTTAAGACATCCATCACCTCATATTCTGTAATTTGGATACTATTGAAGTTATTACTATTTATTTCCCCAAGTTCTTAAGCTTCCATAACCTTTTCCACAGTAAATACTGCCTCGAAATGCTTTTTTAGTATCTCATCAATCACCTGGGGTTACACATGTTGATTTTTAAAGGGCCCTATTTTATCCCTGGTTACTCTTTTGCCTTTAATGCATTTGTAGATTCTGTTTTGGATTCTCCTGGACTCTATTTGTCAAAGATTTCCCATGTCCCCTTTTTGCCCTCCTGACTTCCTTCTTAATTATACTGATACTGCCCTTATATTCCTCTAGGGATTCACTCAGTCCCAGCTATCTATACCCGACATATGCCTTCTTCTTCTTCTTGACCAGAGCCTCAATTTCTCTAGTCATCCAGCATTATCTACACCTACCAGTCTTGCCTTTCACAATAACAGGAACATACTATCTCTGAACTCTCGTTATCTCATTAAAGGCTTCCCGTTTTCCAACCATCCCTTTACCTGCAAATAGCCTCTCCCAATCAACTTTTGAAAGTTCTTGCCTAATGCCATCAAAATTGGCCTTCCTCCAAATTAGAACTTTAATTTTTAGATCAGTTCTATACTTTTCCATCACTATTTTAAAAGTATTAGAATGATGATCACTGGCCCCAAAGTGCTCCCTCATTGATACCTCAGTCATTTCCCCTGCCTTATTTCCAAAGAGAAGGTCAAGTATTTCTACTGTAGGTACATCCTCATACTGAATAAGAAAATTTTCTTGTACATGCTTAACAAATTCCTCTCCATCCAAGTGCTTAACACTATGACAGTCCCGGCCTATATTTGGATAGGTAAAATCCCCTACCGTTATAACCCAATTATTCTTCCAGATATCTGAAATCTCCTTACATATTTGCTTCTCAATTTCCTGCTGACCGTTGGGGGCCTTTAGTACAATCCCAAAAAGGTGATCATTCTATTTTTTCTGAGTTCCACCCAAATAACTTCCCTGATGTTTTCCCAGGAATATCCTTCCTAAGTATAGTTGTAATGTTATTGTTAACCAAAACGCCACTCCCCTCCTCTCTTGCCCCCCTTTCTATCCTTCCAATAGCATTTATGCCCTGCAAGATTAAACTACCATGTTTCTGTAATAGCTGTGATATCCCAATCCCATGTTTCCAACCATGCCCTGAGTTCATCTGCCTTACCTGTCAGGCCTCTTGCATTGAAATAAATGTAGTTTAATTTTTGAATTCTGAAGAATGGTCCCGACCCGAAACGTCAGCTTTTCTGTTGCTCTGTTACTGCC